CATCCACTCACCTCAGCCTCCCAAGGCGCAGGATGACAGGCTGAGCCACCGAGCCCGGCCACACCTGGCATTTCAGAAGAAATTCATCTATTCTCTGTGTCACATTTGGCCCAAGCGATAGCACCTTTCCTCCCTTTCCTCCTCCTTTCCCTCTCCCTCCCTCACTTCCTCCCTCTCTCCCTTCCTCCCCTGCCCTTTCTCCCTCTCTCCCTCCCCTCCTCCCTCCCTCTCTTATATTCTTCCCTCCCCTTCCTCCCTCTCCTCAAGAACCATGCCAAGCACCATGGATCCGATCGGTTCCTCCTCACCTTGATGATAGTGGCAAAATACTCCCCATTAATGTAATTGTCTGTCTTCAGGTAAAGGTCCCGTAGCTCGCTTGCTCCTACGGGATTGTACTTGTCATTGAACTTATCAAAACGCTGGAAAGTCTGGCGTCCCTGAATCAGAAAAAAGGAGCAGACGTGTATTGTTGCCAGAGCTGCCTGGATGCAGAGAGCTAGGAAATAGCGCGTGGACGAGAGGCCTGGGGGAAGGGGAAGGGGTTGGGCGCAGAGAATGGAATTTGAGCCAAATGACAATGAGTGAACCTCAGGGTTGTCCGTGGTGCTTTCAGACAGAATTATAAGCCAAATGGTTAAGAGGGCCCTGAGAAGGGGGTGCTTATAGGAGAAACACACATGCGACTTCGAGTATTAGAGCGAAACTGATAGCGTCTTTTCAACCTACAGCATGAACATCCAGGGAGTCGACAGTCAGGTCATAGGGATGCATTTTTAATTGAGCAAAAAGTTCCTTTAGGGTCAGATTCTTCTCTTTGGTGCTATAGACCACTCTGTCAGCATCAACTTGGTACGATTTCTTAATAAAGCGCAGCAGATGTTTCTGGTTCATGCAAGCAGCTGCATGGATGTGGGTGTCCACCTGTGTGTACATTCAGAGAAAGAAAAAACATCACTAAGCCTTAGTTGTGCTACTCTTAGTTATGCTGTGGTGCTTGCAAATCCCACTGGGTTGGGACAAAAGAGTAAATAACAGGGCCAGGCGTGGTGGCTTATGCCTGTAATCCCAACACTTTGGAAGGCCAAGGTGGGAGAATTGCTTCAGTCCAGGTCCAAGACCAGCCTGGGCAACATTAGTGAGACCTTGTCTGGAAAAAAAAATAATAAATAAATAAAATGAACTGAGCGTGGTGGTGCTTGCTTATAGTCCCAGCTACTCGAGCAGCTGAGAGTGAAGGATTGCCTGAGCCCAGGAATTCAAGGCTGTGGCGGTTCGTGATTGTACCACTGTGTTCCAGCCTGGGCTATGGAGTGAGACCCTAACTCAAAAACCAAAAAAGGGCCGGACTCAGTGGCTCAGCCTGTAATCCCGTGCTTTGGGAGGCCAAAGTGAATGAATTGCTTGACCCCGCGGGTTCGAGACCCGCCTGGGCAACATGGCAAGACTTCTTCTCTACAATAAATCAAAAATTAGCTGGGTGTGCAGCACGCGCCTGTAGTTCCAGCTACTTGGAAGGTTGAGGCAGAAGGATCGCCGTAGCCCAGCGGGTCGAGGCTGCGGTGACCAGGAGCGTGCCACTGCACTCCAGTCTGGGCAACGGAGTGAGACTCCAACTCAAAAAAAAAAAGAAAAGGAAAAATAATAATAGGGATGTGAGCTGACAGCTGGTAGAGGTGGCCCATGATAAAGAACCCCCAGGACCTTGATGTACCAGTTGGATGCAACAGTAATACTGCTTCTCTTGTATATCTGTGCATTCAGTGTTCTTCCTCTATTTGGTCCACACAGAACTCTTTTTTTTTTTTTTGAGTCGGAGTCTCACTCTGTTGCCCAGGCTGGAGTGCAGTAGCACACTCATGGCCACCACAGCCTCAATTTGCTGGGCTCAGGGGATCCTTCCATCTCAACCTTCCAAGTAGCTAGAACTACAAGCGCGCGCTACCACACCCGGCTAATTTTTTAAATTTATTGTAGAGACAATGTCTCACCAAGTTGCCCTTGAACCCCTGGGCTAAGACAACTCTCTCATCTCCGCCTCCCAAAGTGCTGGGATTATAGGTATAAGCCACCACGCCCGGCCACTTAAAATTTTTTTTTTTTTTTTGAGTTGGAGTCTCACTCTGTTGCCTAAACTGGAGTGCAGTGGCCGCTCCCGGCCACCGCAGCCTCGACCTGCTGGGCTCCGGCGATCCTTTCGTCTCAGCCTTCCACATAGCTGGAACTACAGGCGCGCGCTACCACGCCCAGCTAATTTTTGACTAATTGTAGAGACGAGGTCTCGCCAAATTGCCCAGGCGGATCTCGAACCCCCGGGCTCAGGCAATCCACTCACCTCGGCCTCCCAAAGCGCGGGATTACAGGCTGAGCCACTGAGCCCAGCTTAAAATTCTTGAGGACTATTCTTTACCCTTGAAACACAGCTTTCAGCCTCAAAGGGGAAAAGATTGAAATTATGAAGCCATGGCACAGTGATAGCATTTATAAGGTAGATATTTTTATAATTAAAATTGTATGCACCGAAGTGTTGACAGGTTAAGTAATCTGCCCAAGGTTGTATAAGCAGCTGAGCCAGGATTCGGGCCTGAATATCTGCTCTTGTCTTTCCTGTTCCCACATCCTTGCATCATTTCAATGGTCAGAACAGGCCTTGAAAGTGTTTCTCATTGGTTGGATTTCACAATCACTAGGTCTTTGGTATTCACAGTCCTCCTGTGAAATCGATTGAGCAGATATACTTCCTAATTTTACAAATAAGGACACTGAAACTCAAAAATATTTAATCAGGCTGAACTCGATGGTTTATGCCTGAAATCGCAGCACTTTGGGACACTGAGGCAGGAGACTTGCTTGAGCCCGGGAGTTCTAAACAAGCCGGGGCATAACGAGACCTCATCTCTACAATAAATAAAAAAATTAGCTGGGCAAGGTGGCACATGTCTGTAGTACCAGCTACTCAAGAGGTTGAGAGGGAGGATCACCTGAACCCAGGAAGTCAAAGCGGCAGTGAGCTGTGATTGTGCCACTGCACTCCAGCCTGGGCAACAGAGTGAGACCCTGACTCAAAATATAAATTAAAATGTTTGATCATTTCCCCTGAGGTTTTATAGTCATGAAGTCGAAGAAATTGAACTAGAAGGAACATCCTTGAAGTTCTACAGTAGTAGGTTTTTGTTGTTGATAACTGTAATTCTTTATGCCACGAACATGGCAAACTCTTCTATGGGGAAAACAATAATGGCATTTAACCCTCCAGACGTAGTCCGTTTCATAAAAATCCAGAAATCTTAATCAGAAAAAAAGTGTTAATTGGATTAATGTTTTTGCCTAGGAATTAACTCTGAGCAGCTAAAACGTTTACCTTCCTGCAGTTATAAAAATCCCGGTGGGGGTTGTTTTTCAGTTCCTTTAACTCATCCATTTCATTGAGCATCTGATGGACCTGGAACTTGGAGGAGAGGAACTTTAGGCGCCGGTGGGTATAGGTCTTACTGTGAAAAATAAAATTACATGAGTTCAAAAAATTTCAGACATTTAAGAAAAACAATGGCAATTTCAAAATTATCAGGACTCTTATCACTCGTGGGAAGTAATTATTGGAACAAAATTTAATCTTACTGAAAAGTATTGGACTCCAATGACTTAATCTTTTCATCAAAGCTGGACATAGTCGGGGGGACTTGGAAAAATACCTTAACAGTTACCAGGTGTGGTGGCTCACGCCTGTAATCTCAGCACTTTAGGAGGCTGAGGTGAGAGGATCGCTTGGGTCCAGGAGTTTGAGATCAGCCTAGGCAACATAGCAAGACCTCATCTCTATAAAAAAATTTTAAAAATTTTAATGGTGGGCATGGTGGCGCACACCTGTAGTTTCATCTACTCAGGAGGCTGAAGTGAAAGCAATGACTGAACCCAGGAGGTCTGGCTGCAGTGAGCCATGATTGTGCCACTACACTCCAGCCTGGGTGACAGAGTGAGACCCTCACTCAAAAAAAAAAGTCGGTGGAGAGTGTGTTGTTCACAGTTAAGGCTTTGGAGTCAGCAAATTTGAGCTCTAATCTGACCCAGCCAACTGTATCACTCTGGGCAAGTTATTTACCTCTTAGAGTCTCAGCTTATAAAACTGGAATATAAAAATAACTACCTCAGAGCAATTATGAGGAGCAAGACAAATAAAGCACACGAAGAGTTTAACATAGGTTTGAACATAGCAAGCATTTGACAAATAGTCTCACTATGAGTAGTAGTAGTAGCTAGTTGGTTGTTGTGTAGGTTCCATTAAACACTTACACAGGTCCTTGGGCAATTAAAGCTAGTAAAAAGTTCATGTCATCTAAGAAGGTGTCCAGATTTGGGTAAGGAAGTGGCTTGGGCTCATCTTTGCTGGCTGCTGTTTCATTCGGATAGACGTAGACAACACCGTCTTTCATCTGGAGGTGATAGCCCAGGTTTTCAGGAAGGTTATCTGTTCGGAAAGGGTCTTCTCCCTTCTTCAGAGGAGGAGTAAAGACTTTTTCAATAAAACACAGAGTAATATATTAGCACACAGGATCAATGACCACATGCAAATAACCAAACTGTAAAATCTCATTTGCTTGGAATCCAGTACTGCATAAATTGCAATTATCCAGATTAAGCTATGATTTATCGTGCCATTATTTTTCTTTTTTTAAAAAATTATTTTATTTTTATTTATTTATTTATTTTTATTTATTTATTTTTTTAGTTGGAGTCTCACTCTGTCGCCCAGACTGGAGTGCAGTGGCTGCTCCCGGCCCCCGCAGCCTCGACCAACTGGGCTCCGGCAAACCTGCCGCCTCAGCCTTCCGAGTAGCCGGAATTACAGGCGCGCGCTACCACGCCCAGCTAATTTTTTGATTTATTGTAAAGATGAGGTCTTGCCTGCCCAGGCGGGTCTCAAACCCAAGAGCTCAGGCAATCCACTCACCTCAGCCTCCTAAAGGTATGGGATTACAGGCTGAGCCACTGAGCCCAGTTTATTGTGCCATTATTTTTCAAAGGTGACTAAATTAATAGTATAAAATAATTACTAAAATGTTTTATCTAGTATCAAAATGATTGTCAAGTTCTTTAGAAGTACTACTTACATAAAGTAATCGATATACTACTTATAAATAATTGTAATTAACTGAAGTTGGTCATCAAAGGCACTCTGTTTAGAGCATTTTATGAGCTTATTAGATAACTGCATAAAAATAAAGACCAAAGCCCTTGGGAGCTCTTGGGAGGCCAAGGTTCGAGGATCTCTTGAGGTCAGGAATTTAAGACAAGCTTGGGCAATATAATGAACCCCCCATCTCTACAAAAATAAAAAAGTTTAGTTGGGTGTGGTGGCATGTGTCTGTAGTTCCAGCTTCTTGGGAGGCTGAGGCAGGAGGATTGCTTGCGCCCAGGAGTTTGAGACTGCAGTGAGCTATGATTGCACCACTGCACTCCAGCCTGGGTGACAGAGCAAGACTCCGTCTATAAAAATAAAGGAAAAAAAAATAGAATTTGGATATTCACCTTATTTAAACCAATTTTTATCAGTCTTAAGGTCTTTTTTAAAAATAGACTTTTAAAGAGCAGCTTTGAGTTCACAGCAAAACTGGGTAGAAAGTGCAGTTTTCATATACTTCCACCGCACACACATAGCCACCCCCACTGTCAACACCCTGCATCAGAATGGTGCATTTGCTACAATCAGTGAACTTGCATTGACACATTATGATCACCTAAAGTCCATAGTTTACATTAGGGTCCACGCTCGGAGCTGGAAATCCTATGGGTTTTGACAAAGGTATGTGTATAAGGACACGTATCCACCCTTATAATGTCATACAGAATAGTTTCACTCCCCCTAACAATTCTCTGAGCTCCATCTAAAGTGGTTTCAGTGTAAAGGGAGATATGAAACAAACTCTTATTATAAGAAGTATAACTCTAGGCCAGACGCAGTGACTCATGCCTATAATCCCAGTACTTTGGGAGGCCGAGGTGAGAGGATTGTCTGAGCCCACAGATTTGAGACCAACCCGGGCAACTTGGAGAGACCCCATCTCTACAATTAAAAAAAAAAAAAATTAGCTGGGCATGGTGGTGCATGCCTGTAGTCCCAGCTACTTGGAACACTGAGGTGAAAGGATCACCTGAGTCCAGCAAGTCGAGGCTGCAGTGGCCATGAGCATGCCACCACACTCCAGCCTGGGCGACAGAGTGAGACTCCAACTCAAAAATTAAAAAAGTTAGAACTCTTATGATAGTTTTGTTTCCCACCTTTTAAAAAACAAGGAATTGAGAAGGGATTAAGTGGATAAATGTTCCCTCTTTCCCACTGCTAACAACTTCAGCCTAAGGAAGACACATGTTCCACATGTCAGAGACTTTAAGCACCCATCCTATTGCTGTCAACCAGTATGGTCACTCATGCTCTGAGCAAGGAAGGCATCAGAAGGTCTCCTGTGTACAGTGATGCCTAAGACAGCCAAAGTGAGAAAAGAAACATAGGATAAAAGTTTGTACATTTCCTATTGAGAACTAGAAGATAAGGAACATAAGAGAAGTAAAACAGCATGTTGCTACATCAAATATCAATTTTCAAAGCTAGCCAGGCGCAATGTCTCACACCCGTAATTCCAGCACTCTGGGAGGCTAAGGCGGGAGGATTTCTTGAGCCCAGGAATTCAAGACCAGCTTGGGCAACATAGCAAGACCTCATTTCTACCAAATAATAATAATAATTATTATTAGCCAGGCGTAATGACACGTGCCTTTAGTCCCGCTACTTGGGAGGCTGAGGCCTGAGCCTAGGAGGTCGAGGCTGTGGTGAGCCATGATGGTGCCTCTGCACTCCAGCCTGGGTGACAGAGTGAGACTCCAACTCAAAAATAAACAGACAAAATGTGGTTAGGAGGCCAGATGGTAGTAGGCCTCACGCATGGGCTAAAGACTGGATCTTTGTAGATCATGGGAGCAGCTAAATGTTTTCGTCCGGTGGAGGATGTGCTTAGACTTGTGTTTTAATAACTGGCACCAAAGTGAAAATGAACCAAGAGGGTGAGACGGAAAGGCAGCAAAGTTGCTAGGAAGTTATGGCAAGAATCTGGGCACAGAGAAACATCAGCCTAAATCGGGATTTGGGGAACTGCCGAGAGGACAGGTTCCAAGAGAGATTGTACAGACTGGATCAAGTGAGTCAGTGGGCACGTGGCAAGGGAAATGAGCCAAAGATGACTATGACGATGATATTTTTAGACTGGATTACTTATAATCTAGGAGCACGCTTTAAAGTTAATATTTAGGTGCCAAACGGAAAGTTATAGTTTGCACACTACATAACAGAAAATGTTACCTGGACAGAAGCTCTCATTTGCCACCCAGGCCTCGCCCTCAATGTTCCGCAAGTACTTGGAGGGGGTTTGGGGGAACCTTTGATACGACTTCTGCATGTATTTTTCCCGTATACACAGCGCTCGATACAGGCCTTTGCAAACCACTTCAAAATCTTCAACTGTGACCTGCCAGAAAGATGTCAGACTGTCAGTCGATCCTGTGAACATCTGAGAAGCTGGTAAAGCTTATCTTTGGAAGCGTCCAGCTCTCCCGTGTGGGGCAGCCCAGCCCAAGCCTCACCTGCCCACCTGGCCGCTTCCAAATTGACTTGGGCCCTGGTCTCCTTCCAGGAACAAGTCCTGAAGCTTTTCTAGCTTTTTACGGAAACTCACCTGTCCTATGAGTCGTTTCCTTATAGTTCTGTTTTTGTTTTGTTTTGTTTGGCTATATAGCAGTGATTATCCAGTAAATATGATTAAAAGAACTCATTCTAACATGGTGTATACTTTCTTCCTTCCGGGTAACATATGGAACAAGACAACACCTTAGTAGACAATTAGTGACTAATTGTGAGAAATCAAACCACTTATTGGTCATGGAGGGAAATATTTTGGGATGAGTAAGGTGTCACAAATCTCTCAAGCCCTCTCACGCACACACTGCCTTCAGCAACTGAGGACAGATAGAACATTATCGTGTGAGAAGTCGTTCCTTTAAAGGATTTTAAAGAATTTTGGCTGTGCGCGGTGGCATACACCTGTAATCCCAGCACTTAGGGAGACTGAGGCAAAAAGATTGGTTGAGCCCAGGAGTCCAAGACCAGACTGGACAACATAGTGAGACATCGTTTCTATGAAAAAAATCTAAAAATTAGCTGGGCATGGTGGCACATGCTACTCAGGAGGGTAACAAGGAAGGGTTGCCTGAGCACAGGAGGTTAAGGGTGCAGTAAGCTGTGGTCATGCCACTGCACGCTAGCCTGGGCAACGGACTGAGACTCTGATTTGGAAGAGAGAGAGAGAGAATTTTATCTCTGCCTAAAAACGGAGAGATCTGAGAGTATAGCTTTTTTGGGGGGGGAGTCAGAGTCTCGCCCTATCATCCAGGTTGGAGTGCAATGGCATGCTTATGGCCACCACAGTCTCAACTTGTTGGGCTCAGGTAATCTCTCTGTCTCAGCTTTCCAAGGAGTTGGAACCACAGGCATGCCCAGCTGATTTTTTGATTTATTGTAGAGACGAGGTCTCGCCATGCTGCTCAGGCTGGTCTCAAACCCCTGAGCTCAGGCAATCCTCTTGCCTCGGCTTCCCAAAGTGCAGGGTTTACAGACGTGAGCTGTGGTGCCTGGTCCAGAGTATAGCTTTATTAAGCTGCTGGCAGTTTCCTAAACTGGTCAGTTTCTTCCACCCCCATTTCCAACTCCATGCCCAGACAGTTATAACAAGACATCATTGAATGCTCCTCATAAGAGCCCAAAGGCTTTCTCTGGAGCCAATATAATCTTGTTCCCAATGGTTTGAAGTCCAGATGTTGGCCCTAGTCTGTTTGACTACTCATATTTTAAGATCTGCTGACCTTGGCCTAAAGGGTCTGGCACAGGTGTTAGCTCTGGCGGTCTGCTTCCCATGGCATGCTTGTTTCATCACCCCCTAATAGGCTACTAGTCTATTAGGTCTTCAAAGACAAGAGCGGGGTCTTACTCACCTTTATGTTCTCAGCATTCAGCACATAATGCCTAGCACAGAACAGGTGCTCAGTAAGGACTGATTAAATTGGATTACCTGTGTATCAGGGATTAATGATCTTGAGAACTTACTGATTTCCCCTTTACCTCTCTGTTTAAATTACAAGGATGGCCAGGCATGGTGGCTCATGCCAACATTTTGGGAGGCCGAGGCAAGAGGATTGCCTGATCCCAGGGGTTTGAAACCAGCCTGGGCAACTTGGTGAAACCTCAGCTCTACAATAAATGAAAAAATTAGCCAGACATGGTGACACGTGCCTGTGGTTCCAGCTACTTGGAAGGCTGAGGTGGAAAGATCGCTTGAACCCAGCAGGTCGAGGTTGCAGTGGCCATGAGCATGCCACTGCACTTCAGCCTGTGTGACAATGAAATTCCTACTCAAAAAATAAAACAAAATAAAATAAGTAAATAAATGACAACGATGAAGACTAATTTGGGTACAGACTGCAACCAGGTGGAGTGTTGCCACCGGCTTAGCCACGTTTAGCCAGCAGGTACAGCAACATGTTCGGCTTTTCAAAGACTCCATCAAGGTTTCAGGTTCCCCCCAGCTTTCACAGGAAGACCAGCCACCCCTTGACGTCTGTGCACCTTGTCCTTCCTCCCATCTTTTTCCTTTTGGCTCCTGTTTTTGTTTCCACCAAGCACATAGGTATCAAGTTTGTCTCCTAGTTTTTATGTTATTATGAACTCTGGAGTTCTCCAAACTGTGCTTCCCATGTGCTTATCACCAGTAAACATTTCATTTTGAGTGATGTCGTGTCTAAAACCCCTGCAATTTGCAGAGCAACCGTGTTATTCAGAAAAGGAATAAGCAAGAGTGGTGCGCTTTTCATTGTTTTGTCACTTTTAAGTATCTTAGGACTGACCTTAAGTGGGTCAGTTACATGAGAAGGGGGCTCAGCACTGGCCATGAAAACTATATTTGGAGCACAGACTGATGGCTAAATAGCAGTTTCACCAATATGATGCTGATTCTGCAAGTCCATGTGGCAGAGATTTATTGATCGACCAACTGTTCTGGATGAGACCAGTAGGTCAAGTTGTTTGTAACACGAGTTTACTATCCCTGTGGCATCCTGGGATCTGTTCCAAGCAATAATCTACTGTGTAAGCATCTGCAGTGAAATTGGAGAGTTCAGTGTGTTACAAAACAAAACAATAGCCCCATTTTCTAACCTCTCATCTTCCTTCTTTTCTCTGGTCTCTCCTTTATTCTCTTCTCTCTCTCTTTCTCTCGATCTATTTTCTTCGGTTAGTTTACGCAAACTGCAACCCTTCTCCCTGTCCTAGGTCTGCCTGGGTTTGTCTTTTCCGTGGAGCCCCCTGTGCCTCTGAGAGGCTCCCTTTGTGTTGTGACACCATCAGTCAGACTATACCACCTGCTGCTCTCTTTGATCCTTTTGCCAAAATCTGTCCTCTGTCTTCTGTAACCCACCTACTGCATTCTACCCCATGCTCTCCATGTGCAAGCAAATGAGACAGAAGAGAAATTATGATCAAAGCAGTATGAAAAATACAAGATGTACCAGATTGTATTGCAATGCAATAATGAAGTGTACCAGAAGGCAGGTGAGCTGGCATCCTTCTCAACGGGAAGGAGGAAGAAGGTAAGAAGCTAGAATAGGCTAGCAGCTAAGTCTGAGTGGCAAGGCGTGACTCACCCCAGAGGCATAGTCGCCAGTGATCTGCACTCTCTGGAAATCAGGCACGGTCTGGTAGGTTGGAGATGAAGAAATGAGTTCATCAATGCGGGACAGTTTGGTGGAAGATGTTTCACTTAGCGGAATGGATAAATTAACAGTCTTCCGTCCTTGGAAACGCTTCTTTCTGGATTTGAAATTGAAAAATAAGAGCTAGCTTTATCTTCACTGGGAGTTTCGTTGTGATAGATGGATGTTTTAGACACACTTTTATTTTGGGGACAAAAAATGAAAACTAAAATGTGGTTGGGTGTCAGAAACAGGATCCAAGCACAGTGCGAGAAGACCTCATTGAAGACTCATGAGACTGTTTCCCTCCTCCTGGGACACCTTGGAACAATGGGCTCTCGGGGTCATACTAGAAAGCCTTCAGCCTGACGCCATGCTTCCCAGGCAGTCCATGCCTAGGACAACAGGCATCCTGGGTACTGCAGCAAACACAAGCTGTGTGTGTTATTTTGATTATGTTTCTGAAACTCTGTGAGCTTCCATCTCTCCATCTGAAAAAGTGGTGTGAAAATGGCTACTTTATGAGATTTCTGTGAGATTTAATGGATCTAAACTGCCTAGCACAGTACCTGGAACTTAATATTGTTTCCTCAAAGCAGCCAGTATTTATTGAGTGTCTGCTTTAACCCAAGTGCTATGCTAGGTCCTATGGGAGATGCTAAAGTGGGTAGATTGTTGTGTTTCCCTTAAAGTCATAAAACCAAGAGAAAGACAGCAGAATGATCTTTTCCCTGTGAGGCTGGTGGGATGGGGAGAGGGCTGGAAGGAGGAAATTCCAGGTGAGAGGTCAGTATAGGTGTGAGGACTAAAGTGTGACAGACAGTGAACCCTAGAGTGATTCCAATAAAAGAAACTAGACTTTGTGGAGAGGATATCTAAAGACTGCTTGGGGAGGCAGTGAGTATGCATCTTAGGGCAGGAAGGTATGAGGGCAGAAACGGAGAGCTGTATTCTAAGGCCAGGAGGTGGTCAGACTGGCTGGAGGACAGGATTCATGTCAAAGAGTACAACACTGAGGCTGGCTGAGACTAAAGGTGAAGGCTCTTGAGTTCCAGTTTATATAACCATTGTGTGTAAATCGAGTATGTTCCCGGCTGCTGTTAGTCCACACTGATTTGAAACAATTGCATAGGTATCTCTGAGTTCTTTTTTTGAGTTGGAGTCTCACTCCATTGCCCAGGCTGGAGTGCAGTGGCACGCTTATGGCACGCTTATGGCCACAACAGCGTCAACCTGTTGGGCTCTGATGATCCTTCCACCTCAGCCTTCCAAGTAGCCGGACTACAGGCGTGAGCTACCATGCCCAGCTAATTTTTCATTTATCGTAGAGACGAGGTCTCATCAAGTTGACCGGGCTGGTCTCGAACTCGCGGGCTCAGGCAATCCACTCGCCTCAGCCTCCCCAAATGCTGGGATTAGAGGCTAGGCCAACTGAGCCTGGTCTCTGGGTTCTTTTGAGAGGCTTCAACTCAAGGGAGATATGGATAAGGACAGAGGCCCACTGCTTTCTTATTTTTTTAGTCAGCGGCACCTGACTCTGGAGTACACAGTGGGGGAAAAATAATTTCTAACCCTGGCAGGGTTCTTCCTCTGAGTTGAGCCCTCATTCAGACAGAATGAGCATGTCTTCCCTGACCTCGCCCCCTCCTTGTGAGCCAATGCACTAAACATTGCTCTTTTGCCACTTACCTCTTGCCTTCTACGGAGGTGGACAGAGTCTCTAAGTGGAATATGTGCGCTTGCATCTCGTAATGTGAAATCGGACAGATCTCATCCACATCAAAAGGGGAAATTTCATGGCGGCCGCCCTCATCTTTAACTTCAGAGGCAAACACTTTTTCGGCAAAGCTGCGCATGGCATCATCAACTTCTAAAAGAGGTTTTCACATATTAGTGTTCAAGCCCTTTTCAAAAAGTCATCCGGGAGTTTCCGCTAAGTGTAGGGACCAAGACCAAGGACTCTACCGCGTGCCTGGCTCCCCTGTTTTCCAGCCCGGGTTCCAGAAGCACCGCGAACAGCTCTGTGCCTGCTCTCCCTCTAGTGGGTTTCTGCATGGATAGCTTGGAAATCTGGTCTCAGAAACGTGGGTCAGATTCTCACAGCACTTTTCAGGAGGGTCCTAAGGATGGCTCTGAGGATGGGATTGGACTCCTGTAGGACTAGCGCCTAACGGAAGACCACTTGTTTCTGGAAGGGCTAAGTCTGACTTCATAGCAACCCTGTGGCCCAGTCCTTGCCATTATGGTGGTGGGGTTTTTCTGAGGACTTTGAAGACATAGATAGGGTTATTGGTTCTTGGAGTTTTTCTTCTTAAGGAGAACCAGTGATCTAAGGAGTTCTGAGGAATGAATGTGTACTTCAGGGCCTCTCTTCTTCTTAGGACAGGGTAATTGTGTTGCTCTCACACTTTAGACCTTGTTTTTTTCAAATCCTGACAACTCAGTGATATCACTGCTGTGTGAGGGAAGGGTCCCACTAAGATGTACTACCTAGGCTGGATGCAGTGGCTCAGATGCAGTGGCTATAATCCCAGCACTTTGGGAGGCTGAGGTGAGAGGATTGTCTGAGCCCACAGGCTCGAGACCAGCCTGGGCAACTTGGCAAGACTTCATTTCTACAATAAATCAAAAAATTAGCCAGGCATGGTGGAGTGCACCTAATAGGTCCAGGTACTTGGAAGGCTGAGGCAGAAGGATTGCTTGAGCCCAGCAGGTCGAGGCTGCAGTGGCCGTGAGCGTGCCCCTGCCCTCCAGCCTGGTCGACAGAATGAGACTCCCACTCAAAATAAATAAATACATAAAAATAAAATAAAATGTACTACTTAGTGTTGGGAGTCCCATTTCTTTGGACACAGGCCTTCCATAATGAGTGACCCTTGGAAAGCTAATTTTACTTTTACATACCTTGATTCCTTGTCTCATTCTTAAAATGGGGGAGATGGAGACCCTTAGCTTGGCAATGAATTACCTCAGGATGATGGCAGCCATCAAGTGTTTGCTTTTCTGCGAAGTCCCACTGTGTTCTCCAGATGCCCGGTTGTTTACATCTGAATAGTCATTACCTCTAATGCTTTTCTTGGTATTTCCAGCAAAAGAGCAATAATAAACGGCAAACATCTGGCTATCTGGGGCACCAGTAGGAGACAGAAACAGTCCCAACAGGATGACAGAGTATACTGCGTGCAGAGGGAAAGGTACCACCACCCCACTGATGTCTACTCGGACCTCTGAAATTCCACATGTTCAATTCTAACTTAAGTAGGTGTCATGTGTTCAAGCCCCCTGCCCTGTGCTTATCAATTCCTTCACTTTCTTCTGTTTCTGTTTCCTGGTCCGTAGAGTGGGAATACTAATATCTACCCCACCTCACTCGTAAGGCTGTTGCGACACCAATTAAGAGAATTTATGTGGAAATGCCTTAAGGAAAATAAAGCACCGGATGACGTTGAATGATATAGCTTGGTAGCACTGGTCAAACAGACATTTGGCGTTTGGGGTTAGCTTTGGGCTGTTAAGGAAATGATAAATGATGATACTCAGCATTGACGGAAACATGCCCTGCAAATGGTAGTCATTGATCCACAGCATCACCCACACGGCCAGACAGGTCAGTCAGTTTTTAAAATCCATTTTGCCATAGCAGAGTTAGCAGAGAAACCCACTGTGCTGGCTGAACTTCATGCCTCGGTCAGCCTGGTTACACTCAAGCACTTCCTGAAACTGAAAATCGTCTTTGGTTGCTGTGAGTAGTTCTTTGGCAAGCGCTATGATCCACAGATGAGCAGATGAAACACTAGGTAGATACATCCGATGGCCTAAGAGCTCCTTCCCACCCCACTGCCAACAGAATGGTATCATTTCTCCTTGAGCATCGCAAGCAGGCACATGCGTCTCAAGGAACTGTGGCAAGCAGAGGTCAGAAGAGCTGCGTGCACCATGGAGGGCCAACGGAACAGGCCGGCTGGTTATGATGGTGAGAGTGAGGATGATGGTGCTAGTCATGCTGGGTCTGTGGCAGCGCAGGAAATGGAGTCCCAGAAACGCAATCCTCCTTGCCTGGTGTCTGGCTTTTCCAGGACAAGCATTCATTGCCTGGGAACGAACGGCCGTATTTATTTGTTTCATATTTTAAAGCCTTCTTCTTTTGACTAAGGTTGTCTTTCCCTAAGCCACGCTAGACAGTTGAAAAGCAGGAACTCTACTCCCGAGAAGTAGTTTATGTGATGACCCCAAATTATGTGGTTGATATTTCCTTCTACCAAATCAACCAGTTGTTTGGACTCCCTGTAACCACAGCTGAAATTTGATTCCTAATTCAAGAGCTCTGCCTTTCAAAAATACTTCAGGGAGTGGTGGTGATTATGGGAAGGAAGGAGTGAAACTGATCTTTCCGACGATGAGTAGATAACATTTGGTGACGACGTGAAGTCACGAAGTCACGGAGTCAAGGGGGCATGCCTCCCTCAAGTTGGTAAAGATATTTGCCGACTTCTTTTTTGAACAAGTTCTGTTTGAGATAATAGGACATCTGAGGGGAAATGTCTCGAGGATAGGGCAATCTACATTTAGATAGAAAACAGACAAGAGGATAGCAACGAGAAGAATGGCGAAGTAGAAAGAACGCTGGATTAGGAGTGAAAAAAGACGCCCTTGACAGCTGGGTGGCCTCGGGCACACCACGTCCTTATTGGGGACCTCAGCACTCAACATCATAAAAAGGAAATGTTAATAATAATAATGACAGCTTCAGAGAGTTTTGATGACGGTTAAACAAGAAATACTTTAATCACTCCACAGTGCTATCCAGAAGCTGGGGGTTATTATTATTAACCCAGGAAGTAGAAGACTCTGGAAAGGAATGGCATGCTTGCTTCTCCACCCGCAGATCCAGAAAGGCATGCTTGTTTCTCAGCAGTGCTTCCTTCCTTCGTGTGCAAGGAAGACAGGGCTGCAGACCTTCCATCTGCTCCATCTCACCTCACAGAGGCGCTCAGAGGCAGACTAGCTGTCAGTCCGCAAAAGCACAAGATCAACTGAAGTTACAGTTTGATCTAAAATTGGTTTTCATTAGGTGGGGCGAGGTGGCTCACGCCTGTCATCCCAGCGCTTTGGGAGGCAGAGGTGAGAGGATTGCCTGAGCCCAGGGGTTCGAAACCAGCCTGAGCAACATGGCAAGACCTTGTCTTTACAGTAAATCCAAAAATTAGCTGGGCATGGTGGTGCACACCCGAGGTTCCAACTACTTGGAAGGCTGAGGCAGAAGGATCTCCTGAGCCCAGCAGGTGGAGGCTGTGGTGGCCGTGGGCGTGCCACTGCCCTCCAGCCTGGGCGACACAGTGGGACTCCAACTCAAAAAAAGAAAAAAAAAAAAAAAGCGATGGTGATGGTGGGTTATTTTATCTGATCACAAAAATTCGCAAGAAAATTTTTTGCTCTGTAGTTGGAGGCAAATTGGAGATAAATTGACCCTTTGGCTAATCTATGTCTTTTATTTCAAAATGTCACATAAGTGCGCTGTGAAGTTTTCTTTCAGAAAATGTGTGTGTGTGTGTGTATATAAACTTTCATTAAAAAATATATAAATATATATGTTACAATCCAGAAAAGTCTTTCATGTAGGTGCTATGTTATGGGATATCTATAGCCTCATTAATCTTTGTTAACTTTCAGTGGTATCATTTAATAAGCACTGCTGAAAAATAACCATGTTTCTGAATTAAGAAACAGTATCATTTCTTCAATGATTGACAAACAGCAGGGAAAATAGTGCAGAATACTCACGTTTTTCTTCAGCTATATGAAGTAAAATAAAATAGAAAATATATGAACAACTTTCGGAAATCACAGTGGCTATTAATCGGCGCTTTGGGATAGAAGCAGGTAGGTTGGCAGAGGAATGAGGTGTGCTGGGTGGGCTGTTCCAGCTCACTTCCAACATGCCCACAGTTCGCTGCCATCAGATTCCTTGAAAATATGGTCCTCATGCAGCTCTTCATTTTCCCTTTCTTTCCAATATGTCCCTTTAAGTTTATATACATACTTTTATTCTTAAAATTTTTTTATTATAAAGATGAAGGGTACAATTCAGGTTTAGGTATACAAACACTGATTATGCAGATAACCTTGTTGATGAGGTGTGCCCCTCCCTCTCCTAGCAGTTTTCCTCAACTGCCAATCCCACCCCCTCTCCCCTGGCAGTTTCCCACTACTGCCAATCCCTTTCTTATAGTACATACATACTTTTAAAAAGATATTCTCTATAAAATGTGATTGAGAAGAACACCAGAGGCTGGGAACGGTGGCTGATGCCTGTAATCCCAGCACTTTGGGAAGCCAAGGCAGGGGACTGCTTGGGCCTAGGAGTTTGAGACTAGTCTGGGCAACACAGCAACACCTTGTCTCTACTACCAAAAAAAAAAATTAAAAAATTTTTTAAAATCTGGGACCGGTGGTATGCATCTGTAGCCCCAGTTGCTCGAGAGACTGATGAGGCAGGATTGCCTGAGCCCGGGAGGTCGGGGCTGCGGTGAGCTGTGATCGTGCCCTCGTACTCCAGCCTGGGTGACAGAGTGAGACTCTGACTCAAAAATAATAAAATGAAATAAAATAAAATATATGTATTTTTTGAGTTGGAGTCTCACTCTGTCACCCAGACTGGAGTGCAGTGGCCGCTCCTGGCCACCGCAGCCTCCACCTGCTGGGCTCCGGCGATCCTTCCGCCTCAGCCTTCCGAGTAACCGGAATTCCAGGCACGCGCTACCACGCCCGGCTGATTTTTTGATTTATTGTAGAGATGAGGTCTCGCTGCCCAGGCGGGTCTCGAACCCGCGGGCTCAGGCAGTTCACTCACCTCAGCCTCCCAACGGCGTGGGATTACAGGCTGAGCCACCGAGCCCGGCATAAAATATTTTTTAAAAAGCTGCTCAAAAAGGCTGGGATCATATGATGCTGGTCAACTAAACTGTAAACCAAAACAGCTGATATGGTAAACGGTTTAGTAACACCTACCAAAGAGCCGTTTCTGAGAAGCTGTCCTATGAAAATCAACTTTAAATATGGAAAGAGCTCTAGGTGCAAATATTATCAGAACATATTTATACTTACACAAAACCGAGAAAAAATTAAAGGATGAGCCAGTAAAATTAGAATATTATACAGCCATTTAAAATGGTGTTTAGGAAGAGTTTGGGACACCATGGCAAAATGATTAAGCATAATGTTAAGCCAAAATATTATCCTGCCCAAATCAGGACACAAAATTTCATGTACAACATAATTGCCACAGTTTTAAAAAAAATCTGTTTAATTTTGCATAGCAAATAGATGGAAAAGAAATATACTAAAACATTAAGGGTGGGTATTTTGTTATGATGGGATGTTGCGATTTTTAAAATTATTACTTTCCTAAATTTCCCAATTTTTCTAAGTGAATATTTATTACTTTTATTTTTTGGTACAATTCCTTTTATTTCAGTACAACATGTATTGTTCTTATAATAAAAAATTATAACATTATTATTTTAAAAACTACTCTATGTGTACAAACCCAGACAGTGGACCATCAGAATACACAGGTTGGGTTAATTTTGTCATGCTTGTGATTTTCAGCTTACACTACAGCTAGACACATTGTATAGGACTCTTCTCAGAACTGGCAATACAGACCTTGTTTAAACTACTAGAGTAGATATTAAATGTCTCATACAGTTTTCTGCTGGGATCATCAAAGATGCTACACGTGGTACAGTTTTAGAAAATTATCCCCTCCCCAAACTAAAAACAAACAAACAAAAGTTGAAAGTGTTTTGTCTTTCTCTAAAATGTATGATTAAGGCTATTATGAACTGTAAGAAAGCTGACATGACAATTAAAAGAAAGGTTGCAAACGAAAAAACCTGAGCTCTCCAGGTACTGTGCACACCTACCTGCGAGTTTGAACAGAGGCATTGTTGCTGGGGTCCTCGAGTCTAGGACAGCACAGTAGAAAGCAAATAGCACTGTGGGGATGGTTGACTGTCACTATGAAGCACCCTGACATTCATTTTATTATTGCTTGGCCCCCTGTAATTTGACCCTTCGCTGCTAACTGGAGAGAGATGAGCTTGGGACCTATTTATAGCTTGAGGCAATTGATAGTGAAAAACAGGTGAAGCTTTCAGTCTTTCCTGTACTTTGGGATTTAGAAGATATCTGTGGGAGGCCAGAAATTGCACTTCAATACTCTCTAAATCTTCCTACAGATTGGATTCTTGACAAGACGTGACCACTAGTGGTTATTTTGCACCCTAGTGTGGTAAAGACCTCACAGGGAGATTTTTCATGCTTCGGAAAAGTCAAGATCCTCAGAGTTTAAGGACAAGAGAACAGTTTTCTGTGACTGGTGAATATGCTGGTATAGTCATTAAGGTCCCAAAACACACATGTATGCACGCATGTTTTCATTAGAAATAGCCCTGATTTAGCAGCAATTACCTTGACAGAATTTATTTAATGAATTAAGTGGTACATTTACTTGAAGTCTTACAGAAACTCATTGTCTTCTAGTGTGCTCAGTCACTACTCTCTATAGATTGTTATAACACAAAAAATAGTTTTCTTTTGTATAACGTTTTGAGTACATAAAACCCTTTGCAAACACTATCTAATTGATCCTAATTATAATCCTGGAAGGCTCATATCCCTGCTTCCCAAAAGGGAAAACTTGGGGCTCTGACAGGTATCTCACCCAAAGTCATTCTGCTCATAAATGGCAGCGGTGAGACTCTTTGGACCAAAATCTCACGCTCTTTCCACAATAACACACAGTCCTAGTTCTGACTAAATATGTAATGAGTAGGCCAGACACGGTGATGCACTTTGGGAGGCTGAGGTGGGAGGATTGCTTGAGCCCAGGAATTTGAGACCAACCTGGGCAACACAGAGAGACCTTGTCTCTACAAAAAAAAAAAGTTTAAAATTGGCCAGGCTTTGGTGGCACATGCCTGTAGTCCTAGCTACTCAGAAGGCTGAGGTAGAAGGATCGTCTGAGCCCAGGAGGTTGAGGCTATGTCGAGCTGTGATCATGCCACTGCAAAATAATAATAATAACACTTATTATTATATATGCAATTATCATTGTTAGGTAAAGAAGGTACTTTGTTAGACTCAGCAGAATTTTTAAATTGTAACAACTGGCCAGGAGCAGTGGCTCAGCTTGTAATCCCAGTACTTTGGGAGACCTAGGCGAGTGGATTGCCTGAGTCCACGGATTCGAGACAAGCCCCAGCAACTTGGCAAGATCTTGTCTCTACAAGAAATCAAAAAATTAGCCGGGTGTGATAGTGCCTGCCTGTAGTTCCGGCTACTTGGAAGGCTGAGGTGGAAGGATTGCTGGAGCCCAGCAGGTCGACGCTGGGGTGGCCGTGAGTGGGCCACTGCACTGAGACTCCAACTCAAAACAAACAAGTAAATAAATACACAAATAAATAAGTAAATAAATTGTAACAACTTATATTGAAGATAGTAGCACCAGGTTGAAACTTCAGATTAGAAACAGAATTATGAGCATAGACCGAATGATCTTTCTACTATTAACTATTTCCTATTGAAAATTGTGACAAGCCTTTTTGTTGGCAAAAACTTATTAATATTTTAGTGGTTAGCTTGATGTCCATCCTCTCAATCAACATACTGGAACATTTTACTAAGAGGTTACTGAGCCCAAATATTTGTTCATTTCTTTCCAATCCTTTATCTGACATTTCCACCTGAATTTTTCAACAGACTGATACATCCAAACCAAGCATCTTCCTCCACAAACATGATCCTCCAGTAATTCTTACCTTTACATAAGTTGAACTCCAGTTTCCTTCTTCCAACTTGTGCTGATACCCTAGTTGGCTACCCAGAAATCATTTCCCTTTTCTTCTTACTAATAAAAGCTTTTTGGTTTGGACTCTAATGTGCTCAGCCAAAAAATGGTATTTGCTAGACTCCTTTTCAGCTAGAAGTGGCCATATGACACAGCCTGGCCAGTGCGATGTAAGCAGAATTGCTGGGTGAGATGTCTCCAAAAACTCTCTTAAAAGGGGCCAGTGTTCATCATCAGTAACAAAAAACAACAGATGCTGGAGAGGATGCGGGGAAAAGGGAACACTTCAACACTGTTAGTGAAAGTGTAAACTAGTGCAACCTCTGTGGAAAACAGTCTGGCCATCCCTGAAAAGATTGGCAGTAGTGAGAAACTGCAGCGGGGGACACACCTCATCACCAAGAGTACCTGTATAATGAACACTTGTATATCTCACCCTGAACTGTACCTCACATCTTCAAAATTAAAAATTAAAAAAATAAAATAAAGAGGGCTAGTACAACTGGCATGCTTTTTCTTTTTCTCTTCTTCTTCTTCCTGCCTAGAAAAGGCATTATCTGAGCAGAGATCTCCAAACTAACCATTGTTATAACACAAGTGACAGACTAAACAAAAGCTACGTGTAAACAATATCTGAGCAGAATGAAAGAACCAGGGTCCCCCACGGCATCCCAAAGTCAACAGATTAGCCCCGGACGTCCCATCGCCAGAATTCTTTTTTTCTTTTTCGTTTTTGGAGACAGAGTCTCATTATGCTGCCCAGGTGAGTTCAGTGGCTATTGACAGACCCGCTTCCACTACTGATCAGCACAGGAGTTTTGATCTGTTCCATTTAACTCCTCCTCAGGCAGCATAGTGGTCTGCTCCTGGAAAGTCACCAAATGGGTGCCAGACTTAGTGTGGACACCCCATTGGCATGGCGCACTACAGCCCAGGACTCCTGGCCTCAAGCAATCCTCCTGCGTCAGCCTTCCTAGTAGCTGGCACTATAGGTGTGTGACACCTCGTCTGGCCATAATTCTTGTTACATCAGAAAAATTAATTTGTTTTAGCTGCTGATTAGTCAGGTTTTTTGGTTACTAGCAGCCCATGTAGTTCTAACTGGTAAGTCGTGAATTACCTCAAATTCGGATGACTGCGACCAAATCCTAATTATTTCCCATGCCTCCAATCCATATTGCATATTGCCCCAGATTAAATCTTAAAACACCACTTAGTCATTATATTCTCAGTTCAAAAACATCAACTGACTCTCCAATTCATTGTTTCAACAAATATTTCTTGACTACTTAAAGAGACAGTAAGCTTAAGTGATTAAAGTCAGACAATTGTTCTAATCCTATCTCCTCCTCTTACAAGTTGTGTGGTCTCATCTCTGGAAAACAACCAGGCACTGCCCTGGGTAGTGGCATATAGCGACCAAAAAAAGATACAGACCCTGTTTATATTCTAATAGACAGTACTCCGTAAGATAATTTCAAGGTCAAATGCAGTGCTACTGGGAAGGCTGAGACAGAAGCCTCGCCTGAGCCCAGGAGGCCGAAAAGAATACTAATAATATTAATTATGTCTTTTATTTTAAAAATGTATTTTATTTTATTTTGAGTCAGAGTTTCACCCTGCCACCTGGGTTGGAGTGCAGTATCCTGACGCACTGCAACCTCAGCATACTGTGCTCAGGCAATCTTTCCATCTCAGCCTCTTGAGTGTAGCTGGGATTACAGGCACGTGCCACTATGCTTGATAGATTTTTATTTATTTATTTACTTTTTAGAAATGAGGTCTCGCTATGTTGTCAGGCTGGTCTTGAACTCCTGGGCTCACCCAATCCTCCTACCTCAACCTCCCAAAGTGATGGGATTACAGGCATGAGCCCCTGTGCCCGGCAAATAATATTAATGTAAAAAAATATTCTCACCATGGCTTTTGTACCAAACCCTTTTTATTTTCTTGTTTAATCTTTGCAACAATTTGATGTGGTAGATACTATTATCATCCTCATTTTTTTTTTTTTTTTTTTTTGAGTTGGAGTCTCACTCTGTTGCCCAGGCTGGAGTACAGCGGTACGCTCACAGCCACCCCAGTGCTGACCCGCTGGGCTCTAGCGATCCGTCCGCCTCAGCCTTCCAAGTAACTGGAACTACAGGCATGCATCCTGTTTGGAAATGAAATAACTGTGACTCAGAAATATGAAGTGATTGAATATAGTCACACACAATCAATCAGTGGCAGAGTTTGATTTGACAGGATTTGAACCTAAAGTCCTCTAAAGCTGAAGCTTGTGCTCTTTTCTTTGGCATTACGCCACCTCTTATGGGTCCTATTTACATTTTAGGAAGATCCCTTTAGCCACAATATGCCAGAAGGGGAGCAAGGCTGGAGTTCAAAGATCATTTTGAACATTTTTAGCCAGGCGTGGTGGCTCACCTATGTAATCCCAGCACTTTGGGAGGCGGAGGTGAGAAGATCGCCTGAGCCCAGGGGTTCGAGACCATCCTGGGCAACTTGGTGAGACCTCGTCTCTAAAATAAATCAACAAATCGACCGGACGTGGTGGCGCCTGCCTGTGGTTCCAGCTACTTGAAAGGCTGAAGCGGAAGGATCTCCTGAGTCCAGCAGGTCGAGGCTGCGTGGCCATGAGCGTGCCACTGCACTCCAGCCTGGGCGACAGTGAGCCTCCGACTCAAAAAAAAAAAATCTTGGTGAAAGATAAAGACAACCCGGTCATTCAGCGCGGGACTGGAGTAGTGACAGATACTACATATTTGTGTCTGCGTGTGCATTACAGCTACTTCTTTATTAGAGAAAGACCAAAAGTTTCCAACTTCCTATACATGTTGAAAGGTTTAAATAAAGACGAAAGGATATAACATAGGATTCGAGCGGCTAAAAATTAATTCTATGACATTACATTATTCTAAAGTCATACTTATTTTGAAAGCCTAAAGTGTTTTTATGGCTTAAAAAATACTACCAAGTTCGAACTGTTTTTGCTAACATATACCAATAGAATGAGTACAAAAGACCACACATTCTGTGATTTCTCAACATTTAACCCTCAGCGTTTCAGTGAGATGCTGTTGTTGATCATAGTTCAGAGAAAGTACAGATGCCTTCTGTGCAAGCCCAACTTTTCTTCCTTTCTGCCTGCAAAATTAATTTGCCTTTTCAGAAGTCTTGCCGTATGTTTTC